TTTTTTTTTTTTTTTTTTTTTTTTTTTTTTTTTTTTTTTTTTTTTTTTTAATTAGTATCATTCACCCTAATGATGTTGTGATATGACACAGTTAAGTTAGAAGTGTCATTGAGGACAGTATCTTATTTAAGAAAAATGACAACTCTGGAATTTTTTAGTTTACGTTGACAGATAAGTTTGATATTTCCAAATGCAGCTTCATACCAGAATCCTCAAGGGTCTCAGAATGAGAACGATCCAAATAATACAACTGTGGGTACTTCATTACTTTTTAGTAGTAATATAATCATATGGACATGTTTATGAGTTGTTATGTTATCTTCTTGCAGATATTTGTGGGAAATTTGGATTCTAACGTCACTGATGAACATCTTAGACAAGTATTCAGTCAGTATGGAGAGCTGGTGCATGTTAAGATACCTGCAGGCAAGCGATGTGGCTTTGTTCAATTTTCAGACAGGTTGGTTCTCAAAAGCATATATGATGCCTCCCCCCTTCCCAACATTTGGTGCTCGTTTGCTCATGAGTAGTTTATTTTGTTTTTTTTAAATCCTATTTCAGAAGCTGCGCCGATGAAGCTTTGCGCATGTTAAATGGAACCCAAATTGGTGGGCAAACCATTAGACTTTCATGGGGCCGTAGTCCTTCTAACAAACAGGTAGTAGTAGTATTATGTCTCACTTATTATCCAGTATTCATGTTGAAGCAAATATGAAGCTTTGTAATATCCTCTAATGCAAATTTACAGCCTCAGGCTGACCCTAATCAGTGGAATGGTGGAGGAGGATATTATGGGTATGGACAAGGATATGAAAACTATAGCTATGCTCCAGCTGCCCAAGACCCTAACATGTTCTACAGTGGCTATGGTGGGTATGGGAACTACCAACAACCAGGACCGCAGCAGCCATCGCAGCAACAAGGAGGAGGGTATATGTAGATGACAAGTTTGCTTGTTGTTCCCCCCACCACCTCCCCACCTCAGAACGTGACCCCAAACTTCTGCTTGTCATTTGTAGAAGATTTTGAAGATGTTTACTCTCATCTATTCTGTATGACTCCGTTGACATGATGTCACTTGTGTGCTTGTATTTGGCGTTAGAGGTTTTGCGTCTTGCGTTATTTGTTTCTTCATAATCTATCATGGGTAGCCAGCCGCTGAATGATCTTTCTTATTGTAATTCTCGTAAATTCTTGCTTAAATTGCTGTACGTGGTTGCAGTACAACCTGAACCTACTATTTATGTTCCTGCTGGACTAGCCCATCTGACTTATATTCTGGCTTTATTGACACTTTTTTATGGTATTTAAGTGGCTTGAACTCTGCTTTTTGTTGTAATTGTTGTTTGGGTTCCCATTTCAATAAGTAAAACCCCTTAAATTTGAGTTCTTAAATCATCGAGTTTTTGTAGGGAAAATTCATTGATTAATAATAAACATGGGGCCAAATTGCAATTTTTATTCACTTCTGCACGTTCGATTGAAATTAATTTTTCTAAAAATATTTTAAAATTGTTTAAATTTTTTACAAATCTCTACGCGAGGAGTGCTTTTTTCGGGCATTGTTGGAAAGTGTCTGCTGAATAGAAAATCTAAATATTCACGTGCGGTCGGTACCATCTGGACTTCCATAAGCTCGGTTCTTGATTGGTTGGATTTGGGAGCGTCAATAATGACGTTGGACATGGTGATGGGGCCCAATGTTCTATAAATCATGGCCTCAAAAGCGTTCGGATAAAGTATTTCAAAATTTGTTTTATTTTATTTTATTTTATTTTATTTCCTTTTAAACGATAAATCTAATTGTTTCCTTCCGGATCCCCTTCTATTTGTTCCCTCCCTTTCGCTCGTTCTCGACTTCTAGGGTTAGGGTTTCTCTTTGTTCAGACGAGACACCCAAACTCTCTTCTTTCTTCTTCTTCTTCTTCTTCTTCTTCTTCTTCTTCTCTCTACAAGGAGATTTTGTTTCCCTTTTTCGAAACCATGCAGCCTGCACCTGGTATTGCTCCTCACAACATGCCTCACCAGGCCCCTCAGTACCAGCAACAACAACCTCCTTACATGATGATGCCTCCTCAGCCGCCTCAACCGCAGCCTGTCCCTCAGATGTGGCCTCAGCAGCCGCAGGCCGCTTCGCCTCAGGGACAACCCTCTCAACCAGCCAACGCGGATGAAGTTCGTACGCTCTGGATCGGAGACTTGCAGTACTGGATGGACGAGAACTATATTTTTAATTGCTTTGCTCATACAGGCGAGGTACGTGAATCAACGCGCCACCCCACTTGAGATCATGTGTGTATTTGTCTTTATTTTTATTATTATTATTGGACGGATTTGTCGGACTTTTATGATTATTAGGTCGATTTCATCCAGATTCGTGCATGTACATGTTTCTGAAATGTCATCTTGATAGATATTTAGCGGTTACAATTTTTTTTCGTATAGAATTGATGATGTTTTTATTCCCAGGTTTCATCCGTGAAAGTTATTCGGAACAAGCAAACTGGCCAGTCCGAGGGTTACGGCTTTCTTGAATTTTTAACTCGTCCAGCAGCGGAAAGGGTACTACAAGCATATAACGGCACAGCGATGCCCAATGGGGCGCAAAATTTTAGATTGAACTGGGCATCAGCAGGGGAGAAACGACAAGATGACTCTCCCGATTACACAATTTTTGTAGGAGATTTGGCTGGTGATGTTACTGATTATGTGCTACAAGAGACATTTAGGGCACGTTATACCTCCGTTAAGGGTGCTAAAGTTGTGATTGACAGGCTCACCGGACGTACTAAAGGTTATGGGTTTGTTAAGTTCGGAGATGAGAGTGAACAGATGCGGGCAATGACTGAGATGAATGGTGTCCTCTGTTCATCCAGGCCCATGCGTATCGGACCAGCGGCTAACAAGAACACTTCTGGCAGTCAGCAGTATGCGAAAAGTAAATACTAACCTCCCCCCAAATTGGAAAATTTAAATGAGAAACAGAGCATCAAATTCTGTATTGAATATATCCTCCTTCATTCGTTCATAGTATGGATGTGCCAGTTGAGTTTAGAGTTTTGGCATTCTTTTTGCTTTCAATATGCCTAGATGAAATCCGACCTTCTTTATTTTTCTGTCCAGATTTATCTCCTCTCCGTTACTTTTATTTTTTAGTTTTCTATCATTTTAATTCCCCCCTCGTTATACCCTTGGAGAATAGTAGCCTTTCATGCCTTTTCCTTCGTGCAGTTCCAATTCGAACTTTGGTCATTGTAACAATAAAAAGGATTCATAAACTTATAAAACTCCTCTTTTCTTTAAGCAGGGTGTCAAAAGGTTCTGTCAGCTTGGGGTCCGCTACTGATTTCAGCTGACATGGTTACCCTTTAGTACGTTGTTCCATTTAGGTCAGTTTTTTCCCGCCAATGTCTTATGTGGCATATTTATGCTACGTTTTTTAATTCACCTTTAGTTCTGCAACGTTTAGCTTTTCCTTTCATTTCATGGGTGTTTTTTTTCTCTCCCTGGCATTTCAATCTAATTCCATTAGATTTTTTTTCAAAAGAAGTTCAGGCTACGCAGGCTCTTTAGGTAGATGAGTTATTGCAATTTCATTAATGTGATGGCACGCTGGTTTTATACTGAACTATCCTTCTACAACAGCTATAGCAGGCCACATAGTTTGTGCTTGTCCTTTACCACCTAATATTAGGGTTTACAGGGTTTACCTATGTTTTCTTCTAAGTATGATTATTCGTTCCTGTTTATGCTTTCGAATCCATTACCTATAAAAGAATTTTGGACTGCATGGATTCTCCTTTCTTTCTAGTTTTTCATTTCTCTAGCTCGGTATTCCAAATTGTCATTCCTTTCTTCTTTAACCTGGTGGACACAGATATATTCAGGGATACTTTGTTTGTATCTCGTGTAAATAGGATTCCATTGATTGGTCTTGCTTATGTTATGTTTGGCTACTTTCATCACTTGTAGTTTTTGTTATATACTTATGTTTATGCTAATGATTGGGCTAGTTTCTTCATGCTAGATTTTCAATATGGCTGAGTATGGTTGCCCGAGTCTGAAGTTAGAAACTCTATTTGTGATATTTAGAACATTAGGATGTGATGCTTTATAATATAACCTTCTTTTTTTAATCATGTGTATTATTCTATGGATATTTCTTCATGTGATATGATATGATCCCTTATATTTACTTATTTTACATTATATATTTTGTTTTTTAAATTCTGGCCTTTTTATGATCAATGTTTTCAAACCCTTCCCTTTCTCTAGGCTTACGCCTATGTCAGATAAAAGGAAGATTGTACCTTTATGGACGGTGTTATGCATGTCTTGCTTTGAGCCTTTTTAGGCGTGACTGTGATATAATAGACTTGTCTTTTATTATTTCCCTTATTTTGGGGTAATTGTTTGTATCTCTAATTTTTGGTATCCTTTGTGGTTTTATGAGCACTACAAAATTACCCTTCATACTGCCACATGCTTTATGTCTTACCTCTCTTAACCAATAGTGTCTAGGTCTCAGTAAACCTTTTAAAATACTGTGAGATTAAGCAATTGAAAATTGCTTTTGTTTCAATTTTATTGTTAGAGATTTTGTCTTTAAGATATATTAAAAGAAGAGAACACCTGATTGTTCAAGATAAAATGCAAGTTCATGTTGGTTTAATTTTTTGTATTGTAGATTCATACCAGAATCCTCAAGGGACCCAAAATGAGAGTGATCCAAACAATACTACTGTGGGTTCTTTACCCTTTTTCTTTTTCCATGTAACTTTATTTGCGGTTTCTAACTTCTTAAATGGCTATTGCAGATATTTGTGGGGAATTTGGACTCTAATGTCACAGATGATCACTTGAGACAAGTATTTGGTCAGTATGGGGAATTGGTGCATGTAAAGATACCTGTGGGCAAACGATGTGGTTTCGTTCAATTTTCTGACCGGTGAGTAGTCTTAAAGATGTACCCTAACATCTTAATCTCCCTTGAATTGGTGATGACACATTTATTGGTGATTTTAACTTTGATACTAGAAACTGTGCTGAGGAAGCATTACGCATGCTGAATGGAACACAAATTGGTGGGCAGAACATTAGACTTTCATGGGGACGTAGTCCTTCAAATAAACAGGTAGAGTTCTATTATAGTACTCATCTGATATCCTCCGACAATGGTTATTGAATATAGTTCTTTCATAATGATCAACTAAATTGTTTCTTCACCTTTCAGCAGCCTCAGGCGGATCGTAACCAATGGAATGGTGGAGGCGGGTATTACGGGTATGGGCAAGGTTACGAAAACTTCAGCTACGCTCCAGCCCCGCAGGACCCTAATATGTTCTACAGTGGGTATGGCGGCTATGGGAATTACCAGCAGCCACCACCACAGCAACCGCAGCAGCAGCAGCAAGGAGGATACATGTAGTAGATTTGAAGTTTTGTTCACTCTGGCCTGGCCTCCTCCCCCTACTGAGCCCCCCGTTTTGAGTTACCCCTCCCATCCCATCCATTCTGAAGAACTCTTTTTCCTATTTTCTATTCTCTACCATAACTCCTTGATGACTGAAATACCTTTTTCTTTTTTTTAATTATGTTCCTCAGAAGTTTGATTGTGTACTTTGTGTCGTTTATTTTATTTCTATAGTTAATTTTCTGTCTTTGCTAATCATGAGAGTTAGACTACAAATTTGTGTCTATATATATGTATATACACATATTTTATTCTTTTTTTGAAAAATTCATAGGGTTAAAATAAAATTTTGTTTGGTTCTTAAAATTTAAAAAAAAAAAAAAAAAAAAAAAAAAAAGCACTTTGTTCATCAACGTTTGAATTTATATCATAATTAGTTTTTTGTAATGTGAAATTAAGTTCTAAATAGTTTTCGTTTATGATATATGTTGGTGTGATTTTATTAATATGTATAATTTAAATAAGTTGACGGTTTTTTTTTTTAACTAACAATCAAATGAAAATCAATTTTAAACTTTAAAGATCAATTAAAAATCTAAACCTCAATAGTCAAATAAAAATTAAATTCAAATTTTATTAACCGCTTTTCAAAAGAAAATTAAATGATTATATTACTAGTTCTCTAATTTTGAGATCTTAAAAATTAAGTGACATATTACATATAAATTTTGATTTATATTTGGGTGTTTTTCGGCCTTCTCATTTGGGTTGGAGTAGACCATAATCTGGAGGCTCGTGTTGGCCACAAGACAACGTTTCCAATTGCTGTTCGTGGGAAGATCTGCGAGGAGACACCAGGATTCTCTCTCGCACTCTGAGCATCTATTATCATCCATGGCCTCTCTGCTAGCT